AGTCCCACAACATGGCCTCCTCCCCCAGCTGCCTGGAGCGCTGAGCTGCATGCTGCAAAAGCACTCCACCCAGCCAGGGCGCACGCGTGTCGTCCAGGATGAGCGTCTCGTCGTAGATTCCTGCCTTCGACGACTCCCCCCTCTCTAAAGGTCCTAGGATGATCACCGCACGCTCGAAGTCCTTGTTGTTTGCCACAACATCTGGCGCCAACACTCGCAGCATCTCTCCGGACCTTGCGTATGTGCTGAAGGTGACCTCGTTGTACAGCGCCATGCTGTGCTCTTTTTTGAAGAGCATCACTGCACTGATAGCTGACTTCAGAAACTCTGGCATCGGCAACCTTGTTTGCGGGGCGCCTTCTGCCTCCACCCTTTCATAGCCCTCTTGAACCGTGGGAGCGACAGCTGCCCATCCCGGGCATACTCCGGCCTCTTGTACTCGATGGCTGCCTGCAGCTTCTGACCCCAGCTCAGATCCTCCCCATCCAGAAACAAATGGTCGGCGAACTCGCAAAGCGCTGCGTCTAGCTCCTTCTCGCTTCCAATGGGCAGCTCGTGCTTGATGATGAAGCTGTAAAATCCTTCCAGCCTCCGCGCATAGTCTTTCCTTTGTGGCTCCTTGATGCTGGCCATCTCTAGCAGACTCTTCTCCCCCAGCGAGGCTCTCAGCCTCTGCTCGTAGCGCTTCTTCCTCTCCATGGCTCTCTTTCTCTTCTTCTGATGGACTCTGATCAGCCCTCTCAAACTGGGAGAGAGCAGGACCCACGACCTCTCTGCTGGTGAGCGGCTCCTCTTCTCCCCCCTCCTCTCGATCTGCTCCGCGATGGGACTGTGCTTCAGTCTCTCGTGCTGTCGACGGACCTCCTCCTTGGTGAAAACTTCTACCCTCCGAGCACTTTTTCCTGGGCTCCCACGTCCGGCTGTCTTCATCTGCAACATTCCATTCAGAGGGCACCCAGCGCACGTGAAGGCGGATCCCACTGGCCAGGCTGAGAGCAGCAACTCTACGAAGGATTCGTAACAACCCATAGTTTGCACATCTCCCCTTCTGAAAAGCCAAGGTAACCCCCATGTTGTCATTGCAAACCAAAACATGACTGCCATGCCGGGAGGCGTCCTTGGAGACATGTTTCATGGCTCCCAGCACGCTCCTGGCCTCGATGAGATGGACCGGTTCCTTGAAGTGCACCCCTCCAAAGCAGTGTCCACTCAGCGCGCTCTAGAAAACTCTTGCTCACCTCAGGGAAATCTTCATCCATTACCAACATTCCAGGATCCTCTCCATGCGTAACAGGCAAAACAGTGAGCACATCGTCAAAAATTGCATCTGCTCCCAAAGCATGGAGGCGGGGCGCAACCCTCATGGACCGAGCCCTCTTGAAACGCCAGCGCTCATCCCATCTGCCAGCCTCTGCGCCGTACTGCCCGCCCCACTTCTCCATGACGGCGTAACCTGTGAGGCACGCGTCAGTGCACATCACCTTCGCGTCCCAGTTTGCTCGAATATCATCGACCCCCAGCCAGGACCATCAAGTGTCTGAAAAGCCTGAGTTCGCGCTTCACACTCTCCCACAGCTTCAATCGTCGTCCCAGGCACTGCTCAATGAAAACATAAACATGCCTCATGATGCCCATGAGTCCACGATGCAGAAGAGCTCTCACTGTCATGTGACCCACAACAATACGCAACTCCTCCCCAGAAACTGCAGGCCCCCAGCTCAGCCTCCAGCGCCCGGTCCAAACGCCAATCCCGCTCGCACGTGGGCGTGATCCTGCCGCTCATACCGTCAATGCGAATCCCCAGACTTTCTGCCAGAGTGGATGCCTCCACTATGTCATGAGTGCTAAGTCCATGTTGCTCCAGACTCTCCACCATTACCTTGTGATCCGCATTGACCGACTCCGCATCAATGCCCAAGCGGTTTGCATTGTCTGCGTATACCAGGATAGCTTTCTCGCTGCACCCAACTCCCCTCCCCAGTGGGTTCAAAGGCTCCCGGTCTCTCATCAACGGAGTCCTGACCAGGTGCGCCAAGTGGAAAGCCCAGCTGAAACCCATTGGCATGACAGACACGTGGGGGTAGAAGGGCCCAACATTGCACTGCACCAAAGAATCCAACTCCTCCGGCATGAAACCCGGTTTACCCTGCAGCGTTGATGGCTCGATTGGTGGCAATGAAAAATACTCGCCGAGCTCTTTGGAAATCCGGGTCTGGGGTTGCCAGACATGCCGGCGATGCTGGGTCCTCGCTCTACAAAACGCTGCGAATACTGCCAAAAACTGCTGTGCTGAGCGTTGGCCTGTTGTTCTGTCCGTTTTGCTTGCCTTCTCGCGCTCGCGCGACCCCAGCCACAAAACGCTGCTATTTACAGTGTTTTGTCGCATTTGCGTTTCCAGGCTGGCTTGCGGGCTGTTCTTTTTTGGCTGCTGTTTCTGGGGCCTCTGGCGCGCGCGCGCGACCCCATGTCAGCCTTCTGGGTTGGGGCCCGGCTGGGGCCCGGAAAGCTGGCATCTCCGGCATCATCTGGGGTTGGGGTGCATAACCTAACCAGCCATATCATAGCACAGGATACGTTTCTCATACAAAAAAATGACATGACATGGCATAACTTCAAAGAGGCGTAGCCGGCTAGAGGCCGCAGGCCCAGAAAATAATGTAGACTTGCGCTGACGCTTCCATCACCTGACAGGGCCACCGCAAACTCAAACACTTCGCACCACTGCTAGCAGAGGATGCAATAACTCATCCTTCCATTTAAACGAAAAAACTTGCTTGAGACGAAGGCAACAAATCGCCCAGAAAGTTTGTGGGCCAAACTACTGCGTGTGGCACTGGCATGGAGCGCCACAAGCAAAACGCGCATCACATCCGGCCCACAAGTGAAACCTTGAGAGGCCGGCATCCCGCAGACATTCCGGCCGAGTGGCGGCAGTAGCGGTAGCCTTGGCTCCGGAGCTTCGCCGGCACTTCCCCGTCCTCGCCCAGCACGTCGTAGCCCAGGGCCGCCTGGAGCTGCTCCGCCGAGCCTCACACACTAACATCCGGGTGGCGCGTCTTTTTGTGAAGCTCGCCCCCCCCCCCCAAACCAGGACATCGGACCATGTCAGGACATGAAACCAGGTGAGACGCGTCGATGCCCGCCTGTGGCCAGCACAACCTCCCGCCGGGGGATGATGCCTGGATCCGTGCAGCAGGTGGCACAAAGAAGGCCCGTGGTGATGCAGAAGACCGCCAGCGTCGCACCTGCTGCGCTTCTGGCAGATTGGAGGGCACTCTGAAGTGCGGAGGCACTCAAGTGGGCAAACAGTTAAACACGCAGCCTTGCCCACCATTTCTTGTCCCCCACAAGGATTGTCCAATGCTTCCGCCTAAACACGGCCACGACCTTCCAAAGGAATGACTCTGAGGTCAGAGACGGTGCTAATGATTGAGCCCGATCTGGTCTCAAGGCGCGGGCCAAACAAACCAAATTGGCGGTCATCTACCGAAACGGCACGCATACTCTGGATGGACGAAATCCTGTTCCACCTACAAAAACCCTGCAATGATATAATTCCCCTGCAAATGCCCACAAACGCTATGGTTTCAACCATGGTTTCATTTAGTGGTCCGAACGGATTGTGTCCGTCCACAGTTTCTCCCTTCGCGAACTCACGCTGTTGCCGACACGCCTTGAGGTCTACCAGAGACCTACCAGAGACCAGGCCTGGCAGAAGATAGATGCCGTTGGACAGCAGCGAGGGCGCCACCAGGGTGAAGTAAGCGCAGCAGGGCACCAGGATGAAGCACCAAACGCAAAGGTTGGGACAGTAGCACTCATCTGAGCCTCCTGCCAAAAGCCAATCTTTTTGGAGGATAAAGAGCACAGAGCACTTCAAGCTGCAATCATTGACACTAAGCTTTGTTCGTGACTTCATAGCACTGGATATTCCTGTGAACCACTGCTTTTGACACCCACCTGTCAGAAGCAGTCCCCAGCAGCAAAACGTGTTCCTTGACGGCCACCTGGTACAAACTGCAGAAATAGAAAGGCAACACCAAGCTAGCTGACTGATGAACAAGCCACACCTCCCAAAAAAAACTCAACTTGAGGGGCCACAATGGCCACTTATCCAAGGCGCTGCTGGTAGAGCCTCACCAGCTTACCTCGGAATGGCACAAGTCACCATGGGCTATGAATCACTCTTGCTTCGATCTAACAGCTTCAAAGATTCAAAAGGGTCCAACTGCCAACTACAATCGTGCCCGCCTTGCTCCATCTGCTTTTCAATATCCGGCTCATTGTCATTGGTTGAGCCGATGCATTCGGGTGATGGTGTCTCCAGCTTGTTGCGGCCTGGCCGCCCTGTGATCCTCAGCTTCAGGTGGCGATTCATGCAAACAAGTTCCGCTCACCCTCTCGATAGCACAACGCTATGAACACCCATGGGCTTCAGTGGATGGTGCACATCCTCTTGTTCGAGGGCCGTGGTAACTTATACAACGATACCACAAAAATATGCCCAACTAAGACCAAGAGCGCCAGTCAGGACAAGCGTCAGATTCCGTGTTTCCTCATCCTGCTCACCAGCAGGCTGTCTCGACGTCAACTCAATGGCAGGCATTTTGGGGACAGGTCATGCTCAGCGCTTTGGCCAAGCTGACCGCTGAAAGCGAAAGCTCTGAGACTGTGCCTTGGGAAATGAGCTTCTTTTTTTCCTCGTGCCTGTGCAGAAGCCTGTCTTGGCAAGTTAGTGTCTGCATGCCCTGTGCCCTTGTAGCGTTGCGCATCCTGATTGCCACTTCGCAGTTCATAGTCCATGGGGTTGCCGTGACTGGTGAGCCAAATGTCACCATGTGTGGCCATGCTCGAAGGATCTTGAACAAATTCAAAAGGATTATGTTGAGTTGTCTGGGCGGGTGAGACCCAAACATGTCACTACACGGTCAGGATGTTTGGATGTCCGCATTCCCAGGCGACAGTTGATCCCAAAGCTGAGCGCTGGCTCAGGTCCCGGCATCTCTCAGCAAGCTGGCAAGCGCCGCTGGCAAACCAGCCTCACAACCACAACGTTGAGGAATGGCCCCAGGTCGCGGAACTTGCGCAACGAGCTTCCAAACATGACCCGGCGAGCATTCAATGCCAAGGACTGCAGACTCTCGAGGGCTACCGCAACAGCCAGGCACGATTCGACGAACTGAAACAAACTCTGCTCAACAGCTCGCCTTCCCGGTCCAGGCGGCAGGAAACCTGGCTTGACCGTCCAACATCTGGTTCACTGGTCAACTTAACATCTGGTTCACTGGTCAACTTGTTTAAATCCAAGAATCCGGGGCAACCAGGATCAACCTTGACCAAGCAGCCTGTTGCATCCCCCAGAAGTTGGCAGAGCCACAGAAGTCACAACAGCCACTGAGCAGCTTGGGCCCAATCCGCCGGCTGTCCGTGCTCTAAAACGCTAAGACTCGACGCGTCTTGGCGCCCAGGAAACAAGCCAGCCCCGGCCCAGAGCTGCAGAAGAGGCCGTTGCACCGCCGCAGCAAGGGCTCCAACCCTCACACAGAGGACACGGGATGGGGCACCAGCTACTTGTCACTTCCAAAATCGCTTTGGGGCGATGTGACGCCAGGGTCGAATTGGTCGGAGCTAGCTGCTGAAGCGGAAAAGCCACTTCAAACCAATTTGGCTCACTCAGCCACACAATTCAAAAGGATCCCCACCTTGACGCACGCGTTCAGCATCCAGTGTCACGAAGGTATCGCCTTCACCTCGCGCATTGGCACGCTGAACACCCTGCTGCAGTCGACTAGTCGCTTTAGTCGCTCTTTCAACATCCACGCCTTCCTTGTGCCCTAAGCGACGCTGATGCGTGTCAGGGATGACCCTAAGCTACAAAAATCGAGAAAGGGAAGGCTGGTACTTCTTGCCGTGATCTACAAAAATAGCCCCAATTTTAGGTCGAAGCGCGTGGCTTGCTTGGGCTACCCTTTTGCCACTTACACCGATTGGAGTCATCGGTCACCCGCGATGACATTACAATCAACCACCGGTTGCAAGAGTCACACAGGGCCTCAAAGGGTTGCCCCGTCACTGCCAATTGAAGATGGGCCGTCAGCATCGCTCACACACACACACACACGCATTAGCTGGCATGCTTGTGCCACGTTTGCTGATGGCAGCTTTGGATCATGTTGGCAACTTTGTCGCTTGCAAAAGTTTTACGTACCAGGCAGCATGCCCAGTCTAACAGCGCTCCGAACTCGCCTGACACTGCCTCAACCAGTGCCAGGGCGGCCTGCAAGCTCGCGGCATCGAGATGAACAACTTATGCCAAGGTTGTGCAAGGCCCATCATTGATAAGACTGAAAGAACGTGGTGCTTTTATCAGCAATCCTCATTGGACGCACACGTCTATCATCCAGTCAACGACGCGTTGTTTACAATGATGGAATCCAACGTTCTGCCATGCCTCGGCCAGGGGATCGAAATTTGTGAAGCCACTCCAAACAGCTGTAGTGATTGCAAACGCCCCGCCTCCGGGTGCCGACCGTCCAAATGCAGCAGTTTGGCCCTGCGGGGGGGGGGGGGGGGGGGGCAATTCTTTAGGCTGGGCTGTCTGAAATGACCAAGGGAAACTTGAAAAATCTTCAATGCAAGACTCTTGGAGTGATCCGTCCATTCCCTTTCGAAAGCTCACGATGACCATATTCGATGCTCTGCTTCCTACCCACTGCCACCCTTGACCTTCTATGTTCCCTAGTCGATGAAGTGCGAAGTGTTTTTTCCCCCTGGTAATGTCTCATGGAGTGGCAACTGTCTGCGCCCGTTTCGTGGCCTACCCCCACTTGGGACTGAAACTACGGGAACTACTACCACAGTTAATGGCCGCGCCCGAAATTCCTGCCACCTACTTGTTCGCCCTTCGGGGATTGCCAGGCAAAGGGGCGCTCGCATTTTCAGGTTCAGCGCGAGTTGCGCCCGACGCTCCTTCGGCGTGGGTCAGGGAGCCATGTTTGAGATTCTTTGATCTCCGCGACGTAGAAAGGTCCGAAGGACGACAAGGCTTGTGGCACAGGTGGAAGTGGAACCCAAGCAAATTATCAACTAATTCATTCATTGTTTAATTGGTGAATTAAATAATTGTCTGCCTGTCCAAGGACCTTAGCTGCGTCAGCTTGAATGAATATTGAATGGACCTACCGCAAAGTGAAACTACTTGATAGAAATCGCGAAAGCCACCTTCCAAAATTTGTGACAATTCAGCATGCAAACGACGCCTGCTGAAGGCGACAGTGACACTAGGACACTAGGCCACCAGGCCATTCTTGCGAACAGGCAAAGCACCGCCTTGCTGGACTACCTGCGCTTCCAACGTGTCATGACAATGCTCAAAAGTCGGTGTCACGCGTGAAACGCTAAGGCTGCAAAATGAGTGGCCGGAAGGCCGGCAATTCGTCGCCTTTGCGGCCGATCCGGCCAGTTCTCCGCTCAGAACCTGGTGAGCTGGACGATGTTGTGGTCCTGTGAAAGGCGAGCGCCGCGTGGCCCTCGGGAGGGCATGGCGTGGGATGTGGCGTGATCAAGCTGTCGTCGGCCCCATTTAAAATTTGCGCAAATTGCCCAGCCTCCAGCTCCACTTGGGACGGTTGGAAAGCCCCAGGGTCCTCAGTTGAATCCATGGGGGACATACAAAATTGCTTGCCCAAGTCAAAAGGAAGCTACCTCACTGAACTTGTCTGGACAATTTGCACGTCTCCGCAAGCTGAAGCAGTTTCTGCAGCTACCTTTCCCCTTCAAAAGTTCAATGTTGGCATGTTGAGAATTACGCCTCCTTGAGTCCCCATGCTTCTTGCCAGTTCAACAAGCAAGGAGCACCTGGGCTGAATACCAAAAGCAGGGCCTGGCTGTGCTCCCTGAGAAGCCCGGCGATGGCGAGCTTCTGCTGCACCGTACCCAGCTCTTTCCTGCACATGCACTACTAGTATGAAAAACCAGCAAAGGGCGGTAAATGTGGTTGCTTCGCGGGTTTCCCTCTAGTGCAGGTGGGCACATTGTGTGAATCTGAGATGAAACAAAGCCCGCCTGATGTGGTCGAGGGCTTGGAAAAGCCGCATGACTTCAATGCACCTGAGGCATCACATAACGTGTAGGGCTGCGCTTGGTCCAAAGCCATCCCAAAATCAACCCGTGTAATTTGTGGTTCTTGAGCCGACATTGGCCCTGAAACGTGGGCACACTCTGATCAAGTGTGCATGCCCGACTTCAATGATGACATGTTACCCAAGGCCGCTAACGTGGTCATGAGTCTGAGAAATCGTGATTTTTCTCCCAGGTGATTCTTCCACAACTTTTGTGAACACATATCACGAGTGCCTTTACACCCTCATGGTTTGCTCCTGTGCTTTGGCTCAGCTTCCCGCCTTGCCCCACCTTTCAAGCGGAGAGTGCCCAGCAGGAACTCGGGCATACCGATTTTCCTTGGCCATGCATGCTTGCAGTTCAAAGATTCAAACTTCATTCGGCCAAAGAAGCATGACTTGAAAAATGCTTTCAGATTCATCCCCCATGATGTTGCATTGATGAAAGGGGATGCGACGGCTGCCAAATACATGCATATTGCTTTGAAGCATGCAGACTTGCCCACAGAAGCCCGTCACACCAAAGACAGGCAACGCAGGCTATGCGGGCTATGCAGTGCCTGGATTGCATTCGAGCTGCCCATCATGGGAGGAATCAAGCAAGTCGAACATGAGCCCCACCTCAGGTCGACAGGTCAGCTCAAACTACTTCTAAAAGAAAACCTGCATTGCAGGCCAGCAGTGCCTGCCCAACAGACTCGACACGCCAAGGTTGCAAATGCTTCACAAACTGTGCGCCAACTTAGTTACTTAACGCCAAAGTATCACCCAACATGAGGTCCAACAGCACAAGCAACTTGGTAACTCTCTACACCTGTGAAGTGTCAAACCTTGTGACTTGTTGGTTCTACCATCTTGGTTAGAAAGACCCAGGCGGAACCAAGTGGTACCACCTACTAAATACCAAGTTCTTGTTTTGGGCGTGGCATAAGGCTGGCGCAGGCACTTAGCTGTGCAAAAATCATTGACAACCTCCACACCGAGACAAGCTTTGCGACCAAATGGAACCTTAAGGCCAGGCGGCATCGGACATGTCGAGACCTTGTCCGCCAAAGTAAGCCATCACTCGCTCGTTCTTCATATACCTTACCGGTGGGGACGCGCGATGTATGCCCAGCCAGCATCCATTTTCCAACCGCAGAGTGAAAGCAGCCCAGACCTGCCGAAGTTCAGAAAAGCGGCTGCGACAGTTCTGTTCTCGTTACGAATCCATTTCCGTCCACGTCCACCTCTTCGAAGAGATCTCTCATGTCCTTCAAGAACGCATCGATCTTGGCGAGCTCAGCCTGCCGGGCAAGAAAAAGAGGTGAGGCCGAGGATGGCTCCCATTACTTTTACACTGGCTGCATGCTTGAAGCCAGTAGAACATACTTAGATGACGAGCATAGCCATGCATAAGTTCTCCATCCCTTCGTCTTGCGCTGCTTCAACAATACTGTGATACCAACAGGTCATGAAGCGAGCCCATCTTTGATTACGTGCCATCTTTTCAATGCACCTGGTCTTCCATCGCACGCATGGCCCGGGCGCTTTGGCCACCATGCCCCAGTCGAAAACCATGGCAGATCATGGACTGCAGCCCCGGCCTGAATCAGCAGGTCTCTGTCCTTGATTTGGAGTGCCATCTCGACGAATAGGGCGGATAAGACGTTCATGATGCACAGAACGATCAGCAGAACCTTGGCAAAAGGTTCACTGGATTTTTCTCAAACTGCAACAGAACCTTGAAAAACAACATCTGCGGGCGTTGAGTACACTTAAGCGTGTTTAGATTTATGGCTTGCCTGCAGGTTTTGCTCAAACTGCCCATCACCCAACAGCAGTGGGCCGCATAGCTGAGGTGCGTAGCAAATGAAGGCGGTAAAGTATATGTAGGACATGTTCAAGAGAGGCTTGGCGATCTGATACCTCGGCTCCAGCCAAAGCATTCATAGCCATGCGGGGCTATGCAGACGGATACCCAGTGAATCCACGTAAATTGCATGTTGGAGAGCTCCTGCCCCCAGTCTTGCAAGATTTTGCAAGAGTGGATCAACTTGTCAAGTATTAGTGAATTCAATGCTTGTGGACTTTATTGTTTTACTAGGTCATGTAATGCGGGCATGCAACAGTAGGATGTGTGTAACTGCACGATCCGCAACAAAAATGCCGCGAATCATCAGCAGCTCATGCCGCATTCAATGCAGGCCAAGGTGCCAATCACAGCCACCTGAAACGCCCCGGCATTGCTGAGCATTGCGCAAGCTGCAAACTGCTCCATGGTTGATGTCTAAAAAAACTGGCCCACGTCCAACACACGAAAGGACAACTTAGGGGTTTGCAAATGCCGAACTCTATAGTCTGCAATGCGCATGCAGAGTTAGTCTGACATCTGAAGACGGCCTAGCCTGTCACTGCCATCATCAAGGAAAACATCGTCCTCAACCTGGGCGAGGCTGGGCTCTGCAGCAGTTCTGGCCACTTTACAGTTGGGCAAGCCTGAACAGCTTGTCCACGGTAATTCGACAAATGCTACATTTGCTGCACAACTGCGAGACACAGAATCAGATTTGGGGGGGCGGGGCTTGCTTGGGGGCATGAAGGGTCGCTTCCGGCAAGGAGCAGCGACTCAAAGTGCACCGTCAGCTGCTGTCTCAAGCCATCCGCTGACAGCAAATTGGTCTGGTAGGCCCCAGCCACCTCAGCAGTTCCTGCGCCACACGCCAAGGTGGGACCTGCTTCTTGCATGGGAGAACAGCTTGTGTTGCTGAACGCCTTTTACCTTGATCAAGCTTGAAGCAGTCTTATGTTGAGATGCGCTTTCCTGTGCCTCCTGGACCAAGAAGGGAAATGGAGCAGAGCCAAAATCATACCCGTGGCAAGCAAACCTCGAGCAAAATCACACCACAACCACCAACAAGCATCGATACACAAAATGCAAGATAGCCAAACCCCATCAAGCCCAAAACAGACACGGCCAAGTTCAAGAGGGCCTACATCAATGTTCTAGGGTACAAGAAGTCATCGGCCTTCCTGGGCCGGATCCAACTGTTCTTCCGGGTTGGCCTGAGAGCGAGGTCCCCTTGGCCACTCGCTTCACGCGGGTTCAGAGCACCAGTGGCTTGGCAAAGGGACAGGGTTCGCTTCAGCCGAGACCAATGGCTTCAATGGGACTGAATGACACTTGTGTCTCTTAAAATGCCTTCCAAGCCCAAACAAGCCGACTCTCCCAAAGCCGAGGGCCAAACAGCCATTCCTTCAATAATTCAAAAAGCACAAATAACACAGCACAGGGGGAATCGAGGAATCCACACAGCTGGTTGCCCAGTGATGTCCAGTGATCCCAGTCCAAGGCTTTTCAACAACATCGATCATCGATCAAAGCCGCTGTATCAACGATTCCCACCCCTGCTCCCTGTTTTGGGGTAAAGTCCCTCATGCACATGCGCCGATA